GGTAAAGATTCAAACAAGCAACAAGGTATTACTAAATGTAATTACTAATGTACTATTATTAAATACTATATAATTACGATAGTATTTTACAATTCAGTTTGTCAATATATGCCATGCCAAGATTCACTTTACAGCAAATATTGAAGTACAACATCAGCCATTCTGCAGATATGGAGCTATTAATTGTAGCCTCAAACAGTAAGACACATTGCAGCTTGATGAGTTAACAACAGACATGGACAAATGATCTGGCTAACCCACACTTTCCTATTAGGAGTAAAACTGTCTTCTATTAGAAACTGTAAAATAACACAGCAGAGTGCAATAGAGTGCAGTGCAACTGAGTGAATGGATTAAAGTTTTGTTAACTATAAAGGAGAGAGGGAGGGATGAAGGGGAGCATTTAATCCACTCAGTGCCAGCGCTCTCCCTTTGGCAATTGGCAAGCCAAATCATGTGGCATTAGACAGAGTAAAATAATAAAGCAGGGTGCATTAAGTAGGGTCAAATGCAATGTAATGGCAGGGTTATAATTTTTCATTTGAGGCAACCAAAGGGGTTTTCCATAAAACAGGTTAGCATTATTTGTTTGTTCAGAATGACATTATTATGTACAGTTTAAAATAACATAGATGCAACACTTAACCCTGATCAGTCATGCATTGATGTTAGGGACAGATGTTAGGTGCCATAGGGAGGATATGTCTCCCCACCTAGTTCTCTTCAAGGGGGTACATTTGTGACAGCTAACAAGATCTAGCCAACAATATAGAACTCAGTACCTGTAAGTAAGTTTACTTAGTGGAAAACCTTGTAAACTTCCCTTGTAAATTGGTTTACAATTATATAGATTCCTAGCTAGGCCTAACTAAAAAAAATACTGTGGTTCTGGTTTCATATCCTGAAAAGAGTAGAGTAGCTAGGTAGCTGGCTAAAAATTTTGCTTGGCAGCTGGTCAGCAATGGCATTGCCATGATTCAAGAAGCAATATCTGTGGGCAACAGATGCCATTTTTGGTGTCACATTATATCATAAACTGAGTAACAAAGGGTTGGTATGTATGTACAGTAAGCAAGCAAGTGCATGCACACATTTTCATTGAACTTCAACTTTTTACTATTACCTCTGCGTGCAAATGTCCACAATTTCAATGATAATTTATACATCCCATGCATGTTTTGCAAAGAATGCAGTTTGGCTGGACCCAAGACTGGATTTTGGTGGAAATGATGGGGAGGTGAAAAAAATTAGGGTCAACCAGTCTAGCTTATATTTAAAGTCAACTATATGACATATGCATGTATTGTACATGTATAGCAGTGTATTTACAAATTGTGACTGTACAACCCATGCAATTTTGCATTTCATTACATCACTTTTGAAACATTGCATTAAAAGGGTACTTGACACAGAGATGAATGGCTATCATTGTTTCAATTATATGAAAAAAGTTTTTACAAAGTGTACACCCTATAGCAAGTCACATTTGTCATTTCTTTGATTTACCATTTAACCTTTTCCAAGGGGAGGTGCATGACAATCTCAGGGGCAGGGGAGATATGCAGGGGAGGTGCACACCTACCCTGACTGCAAAGGTTTTTTATGCTCCGGGAACCCAACATTTTGTCGAACGTTTTGCACGGCATGCCAGTGTGGTACAAAATTGTTGTGCGTCATGCTTCAGGACACATCATAACACATACTGTCACATAGGAAAAGTTATAATTTAATATAAATGGCACAAGTAAGCGCGGTTTTTACAAATTATTTGTTCAAGTTGCGCGGATATATCTTGCAGACGTTTATAAATAGGACTTTTTACAGACAAGGAAAGATTGCACGGGGCACACGTTCCCCGCGTGGACCAAAGTTTAAAGACCATGTCAAGTCCGTTCTGTGCATCAGTTCTGCTCATAATAAAGGGGGACCCACAGATATAACCATTGCCCAAATTTTGCATCTTTCGAACTTTTTTGAATTGAAACGTACTCTAGTTTATATTCATTTATAATTGCAAACCAGAAAGTATTACAGTATTAGATATTCAGATAGTATGTCTTATTAAAGTATTAGATATTCAGATAGTATGTCTTATTTTACAAATATAGCAGTTCAAAATGTAAACAAAGGATTTATGTTTACAATTCGGACTTGACATGGTCTTTAAGTTTGCAGTCCGGCCTCCCCACACTGGCTGCTAAACACACTTACTTTGCATCAGATGAAGCTTCATCTTTACTTTCTGCAGTCTGAGGTTCACTGGTAGCATTACACATTACATGGTTTGTACAATTGTTTACAGTGTGTGTTTCATTTTTCATTGTTTCTAGTCTACGTTTTGATCCCTTGCACTGGAGAGCAATAAAACCGTCATTTTCTATTTGTGTATATAGAGCATTCAAATTCTTTGGAATGTATAATTGGTCAGTAGTATGATTCGAGGAATTATGACTTCTATGGACGTCTTGATTAATAATTGTACAAAGTCCTTTCAAATTTGAAATCATAAATTGTGTATAATGCTCTCTTTCTTGTTCTCCTTCGCTATCAGATACATGCCATTCATCTTCCATCGTTTCACTTACAAATGAATTAATAATAAGTAAGAATTGTGTTACATCATTGCAAGCATCAGGCAGGTGCCATATTTATAAAATTTTATATTGTGACTTTTCACCAGACATTTTTTTGTCTTTCACTTCCTGTTTAATATAAAGAATTCCTCAGATTCTTAGGTAACATCCTTCTATTGAGTAAATTTTCCTTGTTTGTAAATTTTCGCGCGATAAATATAATCAGTGTCTAGGCTGCGAATTTTCAAAGTCAAATCATCGTTTATACGCGCATTCGCCTATAAAAACTGGGACATTAGCCATATGATATTAGCGCAGCCTCCCTTCCCAAAACTAAGGGGCCGACCATTTAACTTTTGAGGGGGGAGGGGGTGTGATTTTGAAAAAAAAATTCCTGCAAGGCTATTCTGAACAAAAAAAATACCTGCACTAACCAACTGGGGGAAAACCTATGGGGAAAACATATCCTGCCCCATTAAGGCGGTTTTCCACTAGGCGAAATTTTTCGACCGAATCGAAATTTCTCTTTGTTCATGAGCTCTCGAGCAGAACTAATTGTAAAAAGACAAAGAGAAATTTCGTTTCGGTCGAAAAATTCCGCCTCGTGGAATCAGGCCTTTATTTGGTGGGGGAAAAAATGTTGCAAAACAGCATGGTAGGGATCGATTTGACCAGTCCCAGAAGATCAGTTGCTTTGATATTCAGGGACAAGTGTAAGGTTAATTTCTTGTTGGAAAACTCCACAAAATGCTGGAAATAGCTTATCTGAGTTTCAAAAATCCAAAATTTTCGGGGGCGGCGGGCATGCCCCCAGACCCCTCTAGAGGCTCGCACCTTCGGTGGTCGACTCGGTTGTCTCAGAATCCTAGTTATGGCCTGATCTGCTGCCCTACGACTCTGTGCATACGTCGTATACTTATTAGTTAAATCCAATCCATTGCCGGTTAAACCAGTAGAGTTCACTGGTTAGACCAATAAAACCATGCATATATACGCTGCAGGTAGCTGCAGTAATACAGACTTGCCGACTGGAACTTCTCCAGGTCCCCCGCTAAATATGTCCCCTCCAGTTATACATCCTTAAAAGAGGCCCTGAACTAAATGTTATACCTCAGAGCAATATGTATTATTAAAAGCAATGCATGAAGCTAGAAAACTCAACGTTAACTATAATTAAAGAGTCTAAATAGTATATAAGCTATTGAAAAAAAAATGCTGCGAAGGAGAGTGGCAAAAAGAAAATCGTACATGGTGATGGGATAGGGAAAAAAACATGCACATAACGATCCAGAAAAAATTCCCTGCCAGCAGT